TTTAAAATTTTATTAAAAAATTTTAAAATTTAAAAAAGTTTGCAGGCAAATTTGGCTGCAAAACAATTTAAGGGATAAGCAATTTTTAGTATCTAAAATATCTTAATATAATTATAACTAATATAAGTAATCTAAAACATAATTTATATAATTTAATTTTGGCTTTGTGCACTTTAACATTTTGATTAACCATATCCAAAAACTATAATCTGAGTGTGAAAACCTTTGAAATAGTGATAAAAGATTAATTATGATGATTTCTTTTTTTTAAAAATCTATAATTATTGTTCGATCATTCATAATTAATAGTCATCATATATCTGCTATGAATTAACAATCAATATATGAAGTTGAAATATTAAGAATTAAGAATACAAAATAAATAGCCTCTTGTATAATAATATCATAACTCAGTTGTCATCATCTATTTATTTTAAAAATTGACTTTTGCATCTTATATTATTAATAAATCACATATTGTTTATTACCAGAATGATAAGGTTTGTAACAAAGTTTTTTTTTTTATAGTAACTCACATTAGAGATCATAATAATTCTAATAAGAACTAACTCAAATACATATCAGAATAGTAAAAAGGACTATAAAGAAATTTTTACTATAATTCATTTTTTTTTTTTCTTTTGATAACCTCGCACTAATTTATTAAAATGTTTGTAATTTACAAAATTAACTATCTAATTTATGTATTAGGCCAATACCCAGCTGCTAAAAGTGCTCAGGTATAGTTATCGCACTGATGTTTGCCAACTAGTTCTATATGTAGTGCTATCTACATTTAAAAACCTGTTATAGCATAGTACTTAGCTACCTAAAAAAACTATTTACTTAATATAAAAAACCTACTACAATCTAATTTTACTTTAATCACCAACTAGGCGGAAAAGAGTTCGAAATTTGTAACCAAATCATTTCTTTTACCAGATTATATACCTCAACTATCTTTTCTTTAAAATTTTCCAAGCATAATCTTCTCTTTTCTTTTTTTTTTACTGCACCTGATTCCTCTAAACACTTTTTCTTCCTTTTACTTGAACAGTTTTTTGTTGATTAGTTTTCTACTAGTTGAACCTCTGTTAGCCTATTTTCTAATACTGGGTTTTTTGCTCATGAGTTCTTTTCTGGCACCTTGAACAATTCTCTAGGTCTTTTCTCTCTTTTAATTGTCTTGTTTATACCATTACCTTTTTCCCATACTATAAATTTTCATATCTTTCTCTTTAAATTATTCTATAAAAGCATTCTTGTACAATATAACAGAGACTGTAATTCACAATAGAAATCATGATAATTTTAATTTTATAGTATTAATAGCTCATAATATTAATTTTGCTACAAACTAATCTATCCTTTTGTTGTTACCAGAATAGCAAGTACAGTAATTTATAAAATGATTTATTCTAATTTAATCCTAACTATATATTGGAATAGTAAGTAAGTTTTGTAAATATTTTTTATATAACACATGATTAACTTTAACCATATAATGCAATCACTAAATAGCAAATAGGTTTTGTTTTACCAACTTAACTTTAATTACATACTGCATATAACTGGAAAAGCAAATAGATTGTATAACAATTTTTTACAGTACTCAACTTTAACTATATACTGTAATTGTATAATAGCTCAATACAAACCTAAACTCACTTTTATATTGTTATCAGAATAGCAAATTAGTACTATAACGGAATTTTATATAGCAACCATGAAGTAATTTACCCTAACTCATCTTTAACTATATCTTCTATTACAGGATTAATGAGTAAGTTTTGTAACAAATTTTTTACAGTAATTTATGATGATTTTAATACAAACTAATACAAGTTTAACTACATATCGTGTCACTAAATAGTGAATAAGTTTTATTGTACAAAATTTTTTTATAGTAGCTTATATGTAATAAAAATCATGATAATTCTAATACAAGTTCATTTTTTTGTTAGCAATTATGAAATAACTATACTAGCCCAATCTTAGCCACATATTAGAAATTAAGTAAGTTTCATAAAATTTTTTACAGTAATTCACAATAATTTTAATGCAAACAACTTTAACCACATATTGCGATTACTGAATAGCAAATAAGTTCTGTTGTATAGAGTTTTTTATAGTATAATAGCTCATGATAGAAGTTATAGGAATTCTAATCACCTTTTGTTATTATTTGAATAGTGAATAAGCTCTGTATACAGAATTTTTTATAGTAACTCATAAAGTAATTTATTCAACTTGGTCTTAACTATATAATGCATATCACCAAATTAGTAAGTAAGCTTTGTTACAGAATTTTTACAGTAATCTGCAATAATTTAATGCAAACTAACTCAACTACATACTATAGTTCCCAAATCGCAAGTAAGTTCTATAACAAATTTTTTTACAGTAGCTCACAATAAATTTATATTAATTCCAATGTAAAATAATACAACCAGATACTGTAGTTACTAGAGCAAGTAAGTTCTAAAAAATTTTTTATAGTAACTCAATAGAATTGTAATAATTCAAAACAAACCAATTCAATTTTACCTATATATCATGTGTCAAGTAAGTTTTGTAACAGTGTTTTATATAACTCATAGTAAAAATAATAATTCTAATGCAAACAATTCTAAGGGTTGGACCAGGGTAAAGGCTACCCGGGTAACCCACGGATACAACAGATATCCGGTTAAGATATTTGTTATCCGGGTAGATTGACCAGATAATTACCCAGGTAAGATATAAAATTTTGTAGATTACTGTATCGCTACAGTACTGCAGTAATAATAATTTTAAGGCAATATAGTATTTGAAGAAGCCATAAAGCATTAACATCTCTAAAAAATCTTTAATAGTTTAAAATTGGTCTACAAAAAACTCTTCGTTATATAATGTCAAGTACTTACATGATATTTTTTCTTATTTAATCAATATATTAATTAATTTCTCATTTAAATTTTTATTCGTATTGATTTAAAATTCTCTCAAGCACAATTAATAGATCGAAGCTCAATTTCTAATTTGTGGAAAGTGTTTAACCAGTAAGTAGGTTCATTATCTCGATGAAAAAGTTTTAAATCACCTTTTTTTGTCATAGACAAATCTCTAATAAAATCACATTAAGGATTGCTTTAATTAATCGCAGAAATTTATGCACGGTCTTAGTAGCTAGCTAATCGCATTGAAAGCACCATTAATCTTTAAGTTTAGCGATTATTTATTTGTTTAATTGATCTAAGTATTTAATATGGGCTGTTTGACTTTCATTTAGCTTCTTATCCACATTAGTCTGTATAATTATCATCTACCAAGAATATTTTAATTATGCAGATTAGTAAGACGGCATGGGGTGTGGAATACCTCTATATTTAATATCTATTTCGGCGTTATGTATCTTTAGGGTTAGCATTAGAAATTATAGTGGATTGGTATAGTATGTTTTTTTTAATGAGGTATTTTTACACTCTATACTATATACATATAAAAATATTATTAAATTTCTTGTTTGTTTAAATTATAGTGTTTCATATAAATATTGTTATGCTGTATTTAGTTGTATACCCGATATTAATTTCATCTGAATTCAAATATATTATCCATGATCTTAATTGTTTACCCGGATAACCAAAAAACCTAACTGGCAGTTAACCAGGTAAGGTTTTTTTTGAACAGGTCCAACCCTTAAACAATTCACATACTCTAGATATCGAATAATAAGTAAGTTCTGCAAAAGAATTTTACAGTAATTTATAATATATAAAATAATACTGTTTCTAATATAAACTAACTCAATTACATAGTGCTGTTACTGAAATACCAATAACAGAATGTTTTATAATAACCTATAATAGAAATTGTATCAATTCAAATACAAATCAACAATATTAACTATATAGAAATTATAATAACTACAATACAAACCAACTTAATTTTAATTACATATTATAGTTCCTGGAATAGCAAGTAAGTTTTATGACAGAGTTTTTATAGTAACTCGCAGTAGAAATTACAATAACTAATATAATCTAACTCAACCACATTGTATATACTGTAACAATTACCATATTACCGCGTAATAACGCGCAGGGGTGAAATTATGAATTTCGGCCCGAATTAAGCTTAATTCGGGCCGAACCTCGAAATAACGCTCATAAGCGTTATTACGCGAAAATACGGTAGTAAGTTTTGATAGCTAAATAAGATAGCCATTCAAAATTCTACTTATTATGGTTTTACTTTGAAGGTTTTAAAAGTTTTTCAAGTATTTTTACTGCTGCCTCCTCTCTATTTACAGATTTAGTTTCTATAATAATTTCTTTTTGCTTATTTTTTAAACGAATTTCTGATAGTTTTTCTTTATTAAATAAAACTTCAAGTGGTTTTGGTTCTGAAAGTTGTAGCCTAGCCTCTTGCAAATCTATTGATGTATTTGGATGAATTTTAAGATCATACTTATTAAACATTCCTTTTAAATGTTGCTGATGAACAATTATAGACCAAATTTTATATTTAATAAAATCATATATTAATGTATAATTTGGTAATTCAGTGTAAGTTGATTGTGAAAAGGCTATGAATTGTTGTTTAAATTTGTTATTATCTAATACTTGAAATAATCCAAAAGATTCTTTTTTTTATTTTTTAAATCATTAATTAATTCATTTATATATTTTTTTTGTATAATTATAGATTCATTTTCTAGATCTATATTAAGTATAACTTTAATAATTGCAACTGCAAAATCAGGTCCATGAATTCCTCCAAGTCGGCATATAGAAAGAGGTAGATGTATCTATGGATCCATTCATTTTTTAAATAATTCTAATGCTTTTATTAATCCATTTTCAAGTTTACTTGTTAAATCATAAAATTCTTCTGTTAAAAGGAACTCATGAGCTATTAATAGTTCTTCTACAAAAACTTCATCTAAATATTCAATAGCATTGTAATTCATTAATCCATTGATCAACTTTATCAGATATTTCACTTGCTCTAAAACCATTTGGAAGAATTATAAGATTATCACCTTTACTAGTTAAAAAGTATAATACTTTTTCATAGAACCATTCTACAAAGCAAGTCATAATTTGAATTTCTATATTTAATCTTTCATTTTGTAAAAAATTATTAAATATTTTTCATTTTTTTAAATAACTTTTAGGAACATTATTGGCTGCTTCTAAATGATTAATAAACCAATTAGAAAATTGTATATGAATATTTCTTCTATCTAAATATTGTTTAGCAGCAGTTAGCTAATATAACCATCGACTAGAAATTGGATTTTGATATTGTTTAAGATTATAATTTAATAATGTTTTATATAATTGTTTAATTGTTTCTGTTTTTATATTTAATGGATTATCTTTATCTGATTTATTATATCCACAGTGAAGATAATAAGCCAAATTAAAAACATTATATGGATGTGTATTTAAAGAAAAACCTGAAGGTGCATTATTTTTTCCAAAAGTAATATTATTGAAATTTACTAATGCAATATGTAATGCATGTAATCCACAAGGAATTCTAATAGTATTTGTAATATATTGTTGATTAAATCTAACTACAGCTCCTGATAATAATCCTGACATATAGGCTGTATTATCTGTAAGCCAATATTGACATTGAGCTAGATTTAATGAATATTTAATAATAGCTTCTCCAACACTTGATGATACTGTAGATGCTGAACAATGATCTAAATCTTTTACACTTAAAATAGTAAGCATAGGTTGTTGCTGTTTTTCATCCGAATAAGATGCACAAACTAAAAATATTTTTTTTTTACCTCTTGTACTTTCATCAGCTATAATACTATATGAACCAAATTGATTTGAAAATTGTAGTAAATTTTCTTGTACTGATATTTGAGCTATTTCTTTAGTCCATCTAGATAATGTGCTTACAGATAACCATGAATCTGTATTAGAGCTAGTAAGAAATGCTATTATTTTTTTAGTACATTGAACTGTAGATCTCATTGATATTTGACCTATAGTACATAAACTAGTAAGTAAAGAAATAAATTCTGGTGTATATGTGTTTTAATCTTGTTTAATTTTTTTAATAATTTCTTTTTCAATATCTTTATCTGAAATATATATTTTTTTCTAATAATAGATCTAATTTTAGAAATATATCTATTTTTAGATTTTTGAAAATATTTAAGTCTATTTGCTAAAGATTTTGTTTTAATAACTAAACTATTTTTTTGTTGAGTAAGGTTTAAATTTTTAGTTTTTAATAATTCAATTTCATGCTCTATCTGAAAACTAATATCATATTTTTTGTAATTTATAGTTATCTATTCCATAGCTTTTTTTTGAAGATAGGGTGATATAATTTTTCTTTTATATAATCCATCTTTGTATGTCATATTAATAAGTAGTTGAGAATATGATTTTAACTCTTCTTCAGATAAATAATTAATTTTTGTTATTAAATCATTTTTTACTTTTTCTAAATTAAAATCTGTGTTTATAATATTCTGTAAATTATTTTGTTGAAAATCTTGTATTTGATTAGATTGAGATTCATTTGTAATAAAATTATATTGATATTCTGCTAAAGAATTAATAAAATTGGTATTAATTGAAGTTGATAGTTTTTTATAAGATTTATTTATTTTACTAATACGAGCATTTTTGCAATTACTAAAAACTTTTTTAGGACGAGGCATTTTAAATTTTATTTATTAAAAAATTAAATTTTACAAAATAAATTAATTCACTTCTTAAATATTTTAAAACAATTACTATATTTACATATAATAATATATATGGGTATTATTTAAAGCCCACATTTTTCAAATTTATTTTTTTTAACTCAAAATAATACTCATGCATGTCCCAAAATAATATGCTGCTTAAATATACTATATTACATATTTTGATCAAATTTTTTAGGCTAAGTTTATTAATAAATATAGAACTTCCTCTTGTAATTTAAATTTGCTAGAATGATTCAAATTACCATGCATGTACAACTTGAAATAATGTGTAGGTGCACATTATTATGCACAAATACAATACATTTTAATCTTTTTTTTTAATGTTAATGATGAGACCTTGCTTTTATCTTTATTAAATTTAATCAAAATTTCTTACAAAATCGGAAAAAATTTATTGTATAAACCTAATGCTAAGAATAAGAACTCAGACTAACTAAAAGTGCCTAATAGACACCTAGTTTTTTATCTGTGGCCTAAACCAACCAGAGTGGCCAAGGCTCACCTAGATTTGAGTATTAGTAATAATATGAGATGGGTGTATTAAGTATTTGATCCAGTAAGTGTATCATGTTTCAATTTTATGCAAGGAGTTAATTAAGTTAGATTCAATATTTGACTGATTAGAGGCATTGAATGTGTTAGGGATATAAATAGAAGAAGGTGGGGATGAAGTTGTAGAATCAGTTTGCGATCTTGATATGCAATAGAGAATCCATAATGTTTTGTATATTTGATGATTAATTTCAAGAAGGAGTTTAATAGTAAGAGATGTTGCTATTTTGCTAGATGTAGTATACTCGCTTAATGTGTTAACAATATCAATTGGTACTAAGCCGAGAGTGTAGAAGCTAGGGAAAGTTTATGAATAAGTTGGTAAGCTTGAATGCTATCAAGATTAAGAATAGAGGTGTGGAGTTTGTGTGTTTGAAGATGTAAGATTTGAAGTTTGTTATAGTTTAAAATATGTTCTAAAGAGCTACGAATAAGGTTAAATAGAGGCACAGGGGATGGGCAAGATAACCAGTGAAGTAAGTTACTTTCTTGTTGACATATATGACACTTGTTAGAATAGGAAGGATTCCTTCTATAAAGAATATTGGGCATTGGCAAATCATCTAAAAGTAATTTGAATCTGAAAGATTTGAATGTAGAGGAATAAAAGTTGTGTGAAAAGTTGGATATTTTTTAGTTATTATTGAGATAGAGCCAAGTTGCTTGCCAATTGACTAGAGAGGTAATTGGAATCCATTTTTGGAACTGGTTTTGAGATGTCCAGTTAGCAAAGATATGTGCGTGACATATTGTTCTAATACTATGCCATATAGAGAGTTTAATTGGGAGATTGTTAGAGCTAAAAGTAAACAAAGAGTTGTATATATTAGTTGTATTGAAAGTGAGATATAGTGCTTGTTGATGGTTTCAGGCTAGTTGGTCAGCTGCATTGTTGAAAATATCATCCTGATGTGCATTGACTTTGTGAAATATAATATTTAAATTGTAGGATTTAGAGAAGTTTAAAAGAGTGTTTCAAACAGACCAGTAAGGAGTATTTATAAAGTTTGTGTTATGAGTATTGTGTAAAAGATTGTGAAACTTTGAAATAACTGATTGAGAATATGTAAAAATTTGTATAGTACAGTTTCTAGGAGCAGTGCAGATAGTTGATGCTATTGCTATAATTTCTGCTTTGTATAAGCAAGGCCAGAGTTCAATTTTGGCTTGGAAGGTATGAAGTATAGTTTGATTTTGTATTTGTAACCAACCAATACCCATAGAGCATTAGGAGATACCTATGTTTGTAACAAAGCTGTCAGTATAAAAATTAAGATTAGAGACATTTTGATTGTAGGTAGCTATTGATTGAAGGGTCTGAGTGGCTTCACTGGGTATAAAGAAGGTTGGTATTTGAGATTGTTCGATAATAAGTGTAGAAAGTGGTGGAATAGGAGTAGCATTTGAAGTTAGAATTGAGTGTATAAGGTCCTGGTAGTTGGCATAGAAATTAATTAATTTGTCTGTATTAAGTCTACCAAAAAACTTTGTTGCAAGATTTATGTAAATAAAAATACTGCATTTATTAGCTAATAGGTTGGTATTAAGTGGGCAGCTGGTACAAGGTGAAAGAGATATGGGAGCAAGTGGGTATAGTTGTGCTAAGTAGGTAAGATTGTAGCATTGCCAGTGAGTAATGAGTATGTGTCTAGTTGTTGTACATTGGCGTCGAGCTTTACCAACAACTATTTGGTTGTTGAGTAGAGAGATTAGCCAAGGTTTGATATGTTGGTAGAAGTGGCCAGTACTATAGCTATAGTAGTTAGTAGGTGGAAAATTAAAGTGCGAATGAATAGTTCTTTGAGAAGTTCTAGAAGTTGAAATGTTTTCTAGTATAGTAAACCATTTGGGTATTCTGCCTTTTGAAATTTTGTTTAGTCTTGGTGAAATGTGTTGCCATTTGAGCAGACAAAGATTGTTAGATATAGTAAGCTGGTCGAGAAAAAGTAGATGATGGTGCCAAAGTTGTTTTTTAAAGATAGGATATTGGGAGTGGGAAGCAAAAATTGATTTAAGTGAAGTTGAACCTTCCTGGATTGTAAAAGAAATGGAGGTGTTGGGATTGAGGCTAATTGTCCAATTAATATATTTGAGGAGCTTAATAATTTTAAAATTAGTAGTGTTTTTATCAGGGCCTTCAATTATAGGATTGGGATGAGAAAAGATATTTATGGAAGACCATAGATTGTTCTGTAGTTGTTGGATACAGATAAGTGTAGAAGTGCCAAGGAGATAATTATTGTTGAGCCGTTTGATGAAGTTGGAGATATGATGTTGCAATTGAATATCCCAGATGTTTTTGATATTGTAAATTTGTGGGTGTAGTAAAGTACTAGTAGGTATAGTGCGGCTGAGTTTGGCTTTGTGCTTGACAAGACCAATATGACGTGTGAATATTTTATTACAAGCTGTTTGGATAAGAACAATGTTCTGTAAGCAATATTTAATAGTAGGTATAATAACTGTGTTAATAATATAGCAAGCTTATGTATCTGTAATTTTTTTGAACTAATTGTTTGGATGAGTTGAGAGGACTCGTTTGTAATGTGTTGTATTTGTTTAGATTGTTTGTTGTCAAGTGTAAACCAACACCCAAGGAATTTGAGTGGTTGGTGTAGTAGTTGTAGTAAGAGTGTTTGGTTATTAAAGGTGATAGAATAGTTAGGATTAGAGGTTGAGTTAGTGGTAAGGACTGATTTGTTTAGATTTACTTGAATATTAGTTATGAAATAGAAAGATTCTGCAGTTGAAATTATTTTGGTTAGTTCTGTATGTGAGGATACAACCCATAGAGTGTCATCTATGTAAGCAAGAACTAAGCATCTGGTTTTGATTTGGTTGGTTGAAAAGTTTTTAAGCTGGTAAACCATGAACTTTGCATTTGATATCCAGATATAGTAGAATGTATATTGAAAATAAGAGGGTCATAGTAAATACGCCAAAGTAATGGTGTGATTGTTTCTCCTTGATCAATTCCGTCTTGCACAAGGTGTAAGGCCAAGGTTGGTGATGACATTATTATGGCGACCAATAAACAGATTGGAAATTGTATTGATAATTGAAGCAAGAAGTGCAAGGCATAAGAGGGCATGGTGCAAGAGGGTAGAGTTAACAGAATCATAGGCCTTGCTCATGTCTTGGGACAGGAGCCAGATTTCTTTGTGGTTACAGCTTGCATCTTCAATGAGGTTGTTGAGAATATGTATAGGAATGGAAGTACTGTTGCCTGAAAGAGCAACATAGTTATAAGGAGAGAGAATCAGGTGTTGAGAGAAGACGTTGTTTAATCTGTTTGTAAGGATTTTAGTATATATTTTTCTGGCATGTTCTATTAGGCTAATAGGGCGAGTTAAGTTGAGATTTCATCAAATGTATTTCTTTTTGGGATGGGGTAGATTTGACTATGTTTCCATTGTTTTAGAATATAGTTTTCAGAAAAGCATCTGTTTAGGAGAGCAACAAATGCAGTTATACAATGGTGGCTAAGATGTTTGAACATTTTATAGCTTATATCTGTAGCGCCACAGGCTTTGTTGTTAGGGAGCTTGGCAATAGTTTGGAGGACCTCTTCAATTGTAATAGGTGTGGTAAGAGGGTTGTACCAGTCTGGGTTGATGTGAGGTAAAGGAGAGTAATGTTGTTTCCAGATATTGTTGAAAAGTAGGTGGTTAATAGGTTTATGTGCGGTCCAATTATTGAAGTATTGTTGTATATGTTGTTTGATATCTGTAGAATTTGTAACAAGTTGGTTTGGAAGCTTAATATTAGAGAAATGAATAGGAGCCTTATAGCAGTCGAGTATATTGTTGATTACATAAGTGGGCCTAGAAACAAGAGTTTTATATATCTTTTTTGAAGCTTGGTTGATTTGTTGTTTGAGGTGAAGTGAATATTCTAAGTGGTAGGCATGATACACCTGTTTCCAAACCGTATAAGCTTCTTCAAGCCATGCTTGAATATAAGCAGGATCCAATGTTGAGGATGACTGAAGATTGCACTTTGTATATTGATTAATTAATAGAATATTTAAATGAATGTATTGCAGGTGCATATCTGACTAGTCAGTGTTAGAGCGAATTGTTTTAATAAGGTGGCTGAGTTTTTAAAGTCCTGTATATAGTGCAGTACAGTGTGGGCTATACTTATAGTTATAGCAGCATTTGCATGTGACTTTGTTGGGAACTTTTTTAATTGCAGCCTGTATAATACAGTGCTAGATCTTATGCCAGATGCTATTGATACTAATGGTAGAGTTAGTAGAGGTAGGAATATGGTGTCTTTGAAAAAGTTCAGTAGCAAAGTCAGAAAACTCAAGCCAGTGGTCAGGAGATGTTAATTTATAGTTAAATATTGGTACATAAGCGAGGTGGTTTGCTATATGCATTTGGAAAAGTCCA